AACTGTGCCAGTCAGAGTGACTGTGAGAGGGATTGCTCACTTCTTCGCCGTGGATTAGGAAACGCGACTTATCGAACCCTTCGTAGGGTCTACTTCTTCGTTTTGCGACACGTGGGAAGCATGCAAGCTAGCCTGCGATGGGCCACGTGCTCTGTGACGCACAGCTGCCACACGGCTTGCCACAAGGGCCGACAGTTGTCACTTCGCGACCTCGGGCCCGGCCCTAGCTAGTAGTGCATATGTTTGCTCGCTATCCGCCACGTTTCTTGTGGCGAACCAGAACTGAACGCCGCCCCCAGCTGAACTTTCAGCTAAGTCTCTGCTCGCACTGCAGACTGGGACTTCCGGCCATCCTGCTTTTGCTCTAACAACGGGACATCCTGTTGCTTTTGATAAACTTGTTCAGAATTTCGTCATTTTGCCAGAATCCACTCGCTGCTATTCGCATTGCGCCTATCAAAACATCCTGCAATCACTTTCATCAGTTCGCACACACTGCAACCTTCGACCACTAGTCAGCTAAAGTGAGGCAACATGTCGAGCGGACAGACAACTCAGCACGCGAAAGCAGCAGCGACTGAGGGGTTCCATCATGCTCACGAACAGGGGGAGAAGGCAGAGTCCGGGATGAAGGAGAAGATGCAGCACATGAAGGTAAGTTCTTTGGCAGAACAGCTTGCAGTATCGCCTCTCATATTTCCCTCTTCATGACCTCCGATCAACTTTATCAATCCTTGTTCGTTGGTTAAATCAGTGCTTTTTGTTGACAATCTTCGATTATGGGTGCCAGTCTTTGAAATATTCAAGCTTCAGAACGTCAGATCGACCTATTGACATCCTGGTGCCCCCTGCCCCTCGAACTTCGTTGTTTTGCTGGCCTACATTGGCAATATGGAGAGGCAAAGATTTATAAGTGCTGGTACACAGAATCAAATGACGAGCTTGCAAGTGCAAGCTGCCAATGAGACGACTCTGAAACAACCAGAGAATGTACACTTGCCTTCTCCTGCAGCCTGTAATTCACCCTTCACTTTTACCAAACCGTTTTGGGTGGATGTTTGTATGATAGCAAATCAGCGGAGCTCGTGCATTGCAGTGCAGATCTCATGGATTGTGCTCACCAGATTACCACTGTGTATTCTCCAGGAGGATGCCAAGGAGACCCTCAAGAAGATGACTCACCCTTTCAACAAGGAGAAGAAGGCAGGGGATGCCGCCCAGGCTGAGGCTCACAAGGAAATGGCGACAGAGGCAAGGCAGGAGAAGAATGCTATGCACACTGAGAGAGGCCAGGCAGCTCGCCAGGTGTGTTCATCAAATCTTGAAAAGTGTGATGAGCTGCTAGCTTGCAGAGGAAAGACTACAGTGTTTTCCTGTGCAGTCTCTTCAGCTGGAATGGGCTGCAAATGAGTAGTCAGCAGATCTTCCTGTCAACTTAAGAGGACGGGTGTTGCAAGGCATGATCGGTTTAGTATGATAGTACCTCCCTAACAATGACCACTGGGAATGTTGATGTTGAGATTTGCTTTGTAGTTGGCACGTCTTGCAATACTTCCTCGAAATACCTTCGTCTTCGTATTGGGGGTTCGTTCCAATTCTGATGTCAGTATGACTCACAATACCCTGAACCCTGTGCAGGATGCTGAGGCCAGGTATGGTGGCAACCCCAACAGCACCGGCGCTTCACTGGGGCAAGGTAAGATACTCCTGACTTCTTTCTTCCGCAAAGGAGAAAGTTTCCCCACCAGTTCCCTTTCGGGTTTTATTTGATGATCCGATGAAACTCCAAGTGAAGATAGTGTAACTTACTTGGATCGGAACTGTGAAAAGCCAGGTACCCTATCAATGCTTTCTTGTTCACGACCCCATCTCGTGAATCTAGTTCCATCGTCACTGGATCACTGCCCGCAGTATGGTACGATCCTGACATGATAGCATCTGGAAAATGGTCTGACATTTTCCATCTTTTGCAGACGCTGAGGCTGGGCGTGTTCATGGAGGAAGCACCGCGGAGAAAGTGATGGACAAGATCACGCCTGGAGAAGGTCTGACCGGTACTGGACCCAGGGGGGAGTACGGCAACACTGGCACTGGGATGGGTAGCAACTACGGACAGCAGTTGTAGAGGCTTACGTACAACATTCTTTGGTTGATAGATAAACTAAATAATCGGTGCACGATATTATTGGTTTGTGACGGTGGTTCGTAGAGAAAAAGTTGATTCCGGAAGAAATAGACCTTAATCCTTGCTTATACAAAGGACAGCTGTAATAGCTGTAACAATTGAAGTTTCGTCGGAATGGTATAATGATGATCCTTTGGATTTTTGTATCCTCAGTAGAGTGAATATTGCATACTAAACATTGTGGCGCCTCAAGGCAAAAGCATTTTGATTCGAATTGCTATTATGCTGAAGCGAATGAATCGTCTCTTCGATCACCTGATAAGAACTTCTTGAAAGCATATTGTGATGTTACTACATGCTGCCCGTGCCCTGTCTGTGAGCTCTTGGTTGTCCATCAATGCGCACCCGAGCATCTGTAACATGTACTTCGAGCGGTGCAGAAAACGGACGAAATTTGATGTCACCAGCGCTGCAACCGGGAAAGACAACTCTCCACCTCAAGTTGGCAAACTTTTAAAAGTAGGCCTGTCAGCCGTAAAGAGACCGTGAATCAGCTTACCAGTAGTGCAAATGATAACGAACTTCGCTTCTTGATCCTTCGCGTCGCTCGCCCATTTCTGCGTGGTGATTCCTGAAGTGCCGCCAGAATTTGAGCAGAACATTTCAGTTCGTCGTCAAGGTCCGTTCACCAGATGATAGAATTGCATACAATTGGATGGATTCAATACATCGATGGACATCAATGTCGAAACTCAGCATTTCTGCATGGGCTCGGGTGCGCTAACTCTAGGCGTACGTAAAGGAGATGTGACCCCGCGGATGTGACCATGTCTCGATACAAAATTGTCGCCCTGATTCAGTCGTCACGACCCTGCTGCAGGTCATTACCTTCTACCTATCCCGTGAGGTGCATCGTACATCAGGTTCGTGGTTCTGAGTGTACCTTCTGCACCTGCGACACTATCATATGGAAATTCCAGGATCCAGATGAGTTCGATCGACTAGTCTGGACTCTGAAGAGTCATGCTCGAACGCGGGCGCCGCCGTCGCGCGCGCCTTGCCCGGCCGGCCGGCGCGCCTTCAGCATGCCTCCGCGTTCCGACACCTGGCAGATCTCGAAATCTGCAACCTGCTGCATGGTTTACGTATCTACTTGAACAGCCGACATATGTACAGTATTAAAGGTACGGTAATCCAATGCCGCAGCCCGGCTTGACTGGTGTGATTATCATGCAAAGTTTGCCATTGCCCGACTGCCGGCTTTCTCATGATCTTCTTCTCAGACCTTCAATAAGTCAACTTCCTGGCTCCTTCAGAGCAGCCGCTGAGACTCGTACGAGATTGCCCACACCGCTCTGAAAGAAACGTGGGGTGGAGTCCATCATGGCTAGTGGAGGTGCCGTCCAGGAGAAGATGCAGCACATGAAGGTGGGTTTCTCGTAACCTTCTAAGGCAGCTTGATATTGCTTGATGTGATTGAAGCATGCAGCTCTTCTTGACTGCCAGGAACAGTTGAGAACGCAATAAGAATATCGTGAGCGGTTGTGAGCTGAGTGCAAATAGATCAAAAAGATTGTTTACAGTGGTTCGGTTTAGTGGTCCTTGCATGCACCGTTGGAAGGCGTACTCTAATCTGCTTCCCATGCAATTATTATGGCAGCACTTATACGTACACCCACCCTAGTTCATCCTTGTTCGACATTTTGGCTCTGATGGTAGCAGTGGTTTTGAAAGAAGATTCTTCTATGCCATGAGTAGGCAAGGATTTTGCCGAAATTCGAATTGCAGCACCAACATTACATATCGTTTGAGCAAGTAAGAGAATCTTAGACGGGAGGCGCCGCTTTTGTCGAGCTGGCAATCTTACTTGCAGCTAATGATTGAATCCTGAAGGCCCAACCCTGGTCGAAGACAGAAAATTCGAATGTTAGAACGGTAAGCAGCGCTGATTTGTGCAGGAGGGCGCCAAGGAAACGATGAAGAAAGCAACGCATCCATTCGACACCCACAAGAAGGCGGAAGATCATGGCCAGGCTGAGGCTGCCAAGGCTCAGGCTACCAATGCCCGGGAGGAAAGGAACATGCAGCGAGCAGAGGGGCAACATCAACCGAATCAGGTGCACTAAACAGACATGTTGATGGTGTGAATCTGGCTTGCTCTCTTATTTTTGATTGACGCCGACAAGCGAGGGCAAAGGCAGACGTGTTGCCAGCTCAATTGTCACACATCTCGGGTTTCAGCACTTGCCAAAGCCTTTTGAACCAAAACACACTGGTTTTCCCAAACGGCCTTGTCGCCAGGAGTAGTCTGCGCTTCCAAGTCCTGAAATCCTCGTTCCAAAGACCTGGGAAGCGGGGAAGTCGCTTGTGCCCCTCGGAAAAGCTCGAAATTCTTTGCAATTCCGTTTTCGAGGTGGACCGCGGCGACAGAGCTTCTTCTTTTGAAAGATTTGTTCTTCTGCGCTCCTCCCCGCTCGATCTCGAAGATCCCCTGAGAAGCGGACGAAGATGACGTTATTGAGCTTTTCTGTCCGTACTTGGGTTTGCGAGAGTCGCCTTTTACGAGCTTTCGACTTCAGCGGAGCACCTCTGCAAAAGTACATCTCCCCTTGAGTCCATAAGCCGACATCGTTTAACGGAAACTCGGACGGCTTTGACTGCAGGAAAGGAGTTTCGGGACTGGGGGGTCCAATCCTCCTACCGTAGCGGGGGAGAATACCAACACGTCTCAAGGTACGTAGTGTGGCTGAAAGCCTGTTCACCGATCTAGTTTTGCACCCCTCGATAGCCAGGGAGAATCGACATTGCGATTGAAATCTGGGGTTGATCAGTCGAACCACCAATCACAAACCTTGCTTTGAGCACCTGAAGCCTGTCACGTGGTAGTGATCCGTTCAATCCTTGTTGAAAACGTCGCTTTCAGTCTCCAGATTTCGCTCTGTCACTTGAAAAGCTAGGAATCTGGGTCAATTCGCGCTGTTCTCGGTTGGATTGTAGAGGGATAGCCGTTCTTCACGCTTGGACACTCCCATTGGTGAAACGGGGTCTTTCTTCGTGCAGGCGACCCTTCTGCCCGGGACCCAGCAACCAGCCCGGAGATCGAGGCCGAGACGTACCAACCGAGCAGCCTCGATCAGCCGAGCGGAGGCGTGAAGGGGGCGGTAAAAAAGGCAGTCAATAAGCTAACCCCGGGGGACGGGATTGCGGGCCCGAACGCGGCGATGACGGAAGGGTCAGGGCCAAGTTCGGCGATGGGGTCCAATGGGAATGTAGCATGAGTAACGGTTTGGTCTTAAGTAGAACGCCTGAGCGGCCGAGAGCATTGGATCTAGATTCGAAGCTATACATCGTTCACGATTGCAAACCTGAAGTCAACCTCCCTTTACAAAGTGTTAGTGGTAGATGCCGATCCTGAAGCTCGAGAGCAATATGATTAAATAGATGATTTCCAGGTATTGTCAATTGTCAGGAACGGGGATTCCAACTCGATGCCTCAGAAATAACCCCATTGTCGGATTCGCGAGGTATAAGCGCGAGAACGGTCGAATCACTGCCGACTCATTCGATCAGATTCTAGCTTTTGTCTTGGACTCCCTAGCTAGCATTCATAGATTCCGACATTCCGGCCGATGCTCCTTTCTCACTGCTTGACGAATAAAAGGTTCTTTGAGTCTGCTTGTACTAGTGCAAGCAGCAAGCATCAAGTCATATTTACCGTATGCCATATGTTCCACTGAGATGAGTTTGAATGACTTGTCGCCTGCCAGGTGTCAATAAGTACTCCGCTCCAATTGGACTGCATTGGTCAGCCATTGGCGTCCATTTCTTCAAGGCGCACAACTCAGGAATTTAAACCTTTCTGCATCGGCCGATCTTATTTCCTACGCTTCATGGCGAGTCTGTTTCGGAAAGTGCTTACACCCGGAATATGTTGATGACTTGCGCATATACGTCGAGCGGTGCAGCGGCACATACTGTACATTAAACTGCACTGAGTCATCAACACACTTTGACAAATTATATGGTCAAGACGTGTACGTATCAGTAAACATTCTGTGGGTCGAGCTCGTTTCGTGTATCGACCATCACGTCGGATAAGATCATGCCGCTTGGCCGTTGAAGCGAGTCTATTCGAGGTGTCTGTCTTCGAGAGGCAAACTTACACTTTGTGTCGCCTCTGTCTAAGAGCAAGAGTACCTTGATCTTCCAGCGCCTCTTCAAGCAAAGAGCAGCGGTTGCTTCGTTTGCCGGTGGTACTCAACGGCGCTTTGCAGTTGACGTTTAAGAAATAGTTCATAATCTAGATGAGGTCTCGCACATGAGACGTTCCAAAGGTCAAAAAAATTCCGCACATAAGCCGGCATGCAGAAAAAAGTTCGATGTTCCTGAGACCTCGAAGAGGATTTGTGCTTACGAAGTGAATGATCTCATTGCTCTCGAAGAGCGAGGAAAGGTTTCACTATCCCACCTCCAGTATGGTACAGACTACCGCTTCCTAGTGCGTTTATCTTGATCAGAGCCGTGCACCTACCTTTGCAGGAGCTAGACTGTACGTTTCACCAGCAATAACTTCGAGACCTGCTGCTAATCATTACCTCTTACGATCGCTTCTCACTTGTGGGCTTTCTAAAGACCCGACCCGTGCTTAACCACCCGGAATCCTGCAGGGTTCTACCCATCGTACATGCCGTCACGATTACCTGGCGCTTCTAGGATGTTGCGTCATTCCGCTACCTCCGGCCCGTTTGCCTTTGATCGTACCTTCGACCGTGTTCTTGGAACCCACCCGGTAACCCGTGCTGGTTATCCGGGGGTCGTACTCGCCGGGACCGGGGCCTTGATAAGCTGCACCAAAAGGTTGGGAAACTTGGGAACAGATTGCGCTGTATTCGGCGTGCGTGCCCAAAATTCAACGTTGGTTCTGCCGCTCCGTCTCTCTGACGGGAAAGTGGGCCGCTGGTATCATTGAGTCGCTAGGCAGCGTTTTTTGGAAAAAGGTACCTTTTAGAGGCCACCGTGACCACCTGATAGGACTTGCTATCCAAAAGTGTGGTGCCGCTACAGCCTCGCTTCTGCAGAGTTGCTGCCGGCTTAAGTGACCCTTCAGAAAGTGAAGTACGCTCCGCCACTCACTTAGCTTAGCTCGAAGAACCCACTCCTCAGCACAACGGTAACATGTCAAGATCGGATGTCTTCAACCCGAAAAGGGACTGCTTCGAGTTTTTCGTGCATACCTGGACTTAAGGGCACTCGAGACTTCAAAGTGAAGCCCGCTTTCCGCGAGGAGCTCTGGGGTGAATACGCCCCTGGCCCCGGTACCGCATGCCCGGCGCCTATTTTGATCGAGGGTCTTCCTCCTAAGCTGAAAGCCGGCCCGTCTCCTTTCTTTTGTGACCCGGTAACCGGGGGTGAATACGCCCCTGGCCCAGGCGCACGATCGACAGCTGCGAAAGGAAGAGGGATATTCTCAGTGTTGGCAGGTTTCGGAAGTATTTCGGATTGAAAACGAAAACATGGAACCCTTTTACTGAGCAAGGTGACGTCACGTTAAATCCTCTCATATTCGTCAAAAACATCGTTGTAGCAGTGGGCGGTTCGCGAGGCCACCAAAGGCCAGCGCGTTCGTGATAAGCAAAACACCACCTCTCACACTCTTCTCAAACGTTGAAATGAGAGGAGCTTTTAAGGTGAAGGGAACAAGATTCCAAGCAAAGAGGCAAAGACTATAAGCAGTATATCGGTCTGAGTGATAGAGTTCTCAAAGTTTGTAAGATAGAATCCTGCCCTTATGAGAAGAACGAGAGGGACACCCTGAGAGGGAGTCCCTGTCGAGCTCTTACCTGCGGTTTTCCGCGGCTTTCCCTTTATCGAGAACTTCGGACTTGTCGTGGAAGCGACCGGGTCATACGCCCCGGGCCCTGGCGGCGCGGCCAGCGCCGACCCAGAAGATTCTACCCGAGCACCAAAGCTGAAGCCGCCGTTTCCACTAGGACCGGCCGGGCTGTACGCCCCGGGACCCGGACCCTCAGCCGCTGAGAGAAAACAGTCAAGTTGAGCTCCCTTACTTAGGGACGTCCTAGTGGGGAATTAGCCATTAAAGCCGCGGATAAGGTTGTATCCGAAAAGGCTTCATGTATTGAACCGGGCTATAAGATGTTCGCTGCTTTCGAGAACGGATTCCACCCGGGCGCCGACGTTTCCAAGAGAACTGACCGGGCTGTAGGCCCCTGGTTCGGGACCCTCAGCCGCTGAGGGGAACAGAGTTGGCTCAGTAAGCAAAGCCATTTGATAGATTGTTTTAGCAATGTACCTAAGGAAGCGGGTGGGAACGTGGTCTCAGGAAATGCATGCATTGATTGCGGCAGGAAGAAAGGCTGGCTGCTTCGGAAGGAACATTTTCACCGAGCACCAAAGCTGAAGCCACTGTTTGCACTGGGACCGGCCCGGCTGTAGGGCCCCGGGCCCGCAGCCGCTGATTAAATCAATTGGCTAGTCTCAAAGATCAGTTTTCAAACCTACGTCCTCAAGGTAGCTAAAGAACAAGGGGAAGCCGGAGGAAAAGGTGGTGAGTCGTTGAGTTTGGCTGTTTATTGCGCTCGTTTGCCACGAGAGTCAGACAGTAAAGTCCGGATCCAACAGTTCGGTCGCTGCACGACGCTTTCGCTGCCACGAGTTACGGATTCGCTCTCTGATTCATAGTCAACTATAAGGCACTCTATTGCAAGCTTCACTCCTTTCTGTACTCGTTTGCAGAATTCTCCCGCAGACTGTGGTAACGTGCAACGAACGCGGCGTCAGTGAGTTGCGGTGATGTGTCCTACCGGTGCTCGTTTTCGGGCGAGACTTCAGCGACACCCCAGGCGCGCTCGTCCGTGGCCGGGTCGCCACGTCGTAGTGGCCAGGACCCGGGGTGTCCGCCCCGGGCGCCAGCCTCCGTTCGCTCAGCCGCCCACTTATGCTGTAGCCCTTATTGCCCCGATAGCTGTCCGGGGAGTACGCACCGGGGCCGGGGTTTTCGTCGGGCCGTGCTGCACAGGACATTTTCGCCATTTGAGCCTGCCGGCTTTTTGACAAGGGGATACGTTCTCCTTTCTGTTATTCTGGTGTTCTCTTTAATGTGGTCTGTACGGCCACTCTTCAACGCAGCGCTGAGTATCCTTAACCTACCAAGCTTCCGGTCTGCTAGCTCTCTCAACCCACAGTTTACGGTGCGCGTGGTGACGGGATAGAGAGACCGCCGAAGAAAGCAAAGAAATCCGCAGTAATGGCAGCGGGGTTCGTCTTTCTCGTCTTTGATGAAACGCAAAGTCTAATCCTTCCGATACGCTTTGTATTCATTTATTCACAGGGAGACGGCGGGCTCACCATTCTAAGAGCTTGTCACTCATTGTCTAGGCTCACAGCAATCGAGCACGGGTCACAGTTTGGGGCAACCCTCACCTGTGCTTGGTCTCGTCCTACTAGTGATGCTAAACCCCTTTTTCGCACCCGGTAGCCTCGGCGAATACGCCCCCGGCCCGGGCATATCGTACGGTTTATCTTTCTGGGGGTGCCGGAACTGCAGCGAGAAGCCCCCCACGGAACGTATTTTGGGGTCGTATGCCCCCGGCCCTGGGACGCGCGCGCTCTGCGCGCGCACAGGTTGTCTCGACTTGATGGAGAAGGCCGGGCCGTTGGAAGGCGTCTGGGGGTCGTACTCTCCTGGGCCCGGGTTGGCGGAACCAGCTGCAAATACGGTTAAGGCTAACTTCAAATAAGTATCCTGATGACAGCTACCTTTCTTTTGAGTCTCCGGTGAGTTGGAAGGCTTGACTCCCCGAAACTTTGCAGAATGTTGAGAGATAGTGTTGGCCTTGACAATGCTTTGGAATTAGTCCAATGCCCTATTTGAGAAAGGCTTCACAACGCAACAGAAAGAGAGTCGACTCTCTCTCTAAACGCACTCTTACCGTTAGAATCGAAGACTACTGTTGTACCCGTCTGTATGCTTAAGAAAGTCGTTGGCTTTCAGACCAATCATATCAGGCCACCAAAACCTGGCCCTCTTAAAGATCAATTTACGACTCACGTGATCTCGGCTCTTCCCTTCCGTTCGTCGCCAGCGAGATCCCCCTCTGAGAAGCCAACGACCTGCTGACGTCATAAGCGGCAGGGCCCGGCCCGTCCGCTATTCCGTTTCCGTTCGGGTGCCTCGACGAGAGAGAAAAGGCGGGCCCGCGGAACGTGTTCCGGGGTGAATAAGCCCCGGGTCCCGGAATGTCTCCGGCCGTTTTGGGCCGGGTGCCGATTCTGCTCGAGAGAGAGAACCGGGGGCCCTGAGAGGAAGTGCTCGGGTCGTACTCGCCGGGGCCGGGGCTGTTGTCGGGGGGGCCACCTGGAGCGGAAAATAGCCCCCCTGTGAGGAAGTGCCGAATCTGCGTTGCCTTCTACTTTGACAGAAGTACTGGGGTGCTGGCGCTCATCTTCGAGGTGAAATACTTCGTCGAGACGTCGAACGCTAACGAAAGTATGAGTAGACTCTAGAAGGAAGAATGTAATTCTGGAAGAGTGTATGGTGATTGTTTGAAAGCCGCGGGGGCAACTCAACTTGACTTTGCGGAACGTCACGCGCTCGCTTTGTTTCATGCCAGTCTTGCAAAGTGCTTCCCACGTTGCCAGCCACAGTGCGCTCCCCTAACGGCGGAATGTTTACGATCAAAGTCCGTCTTTTCAGGGCAATAAAGAGGACCACTTAGACGCCTACAATCTACGATGGCAGGTCAGGCAAAGCAGAATTCCAGCAGAATTTCAAGAGAGTCACCTATTTTCGTCCGGCTCTTGAGCGTGACCCCTCCCCCTTTTCGCAGAAACTGCGGGGTGTAAGCGCCCGGCCCCGGCCCCTCCTTGCTGGACGTCGTCTCCGTTTTGCTGCGGCCTTTGATTGAAAACGCGGGGCCCGAAACCTTTGCCTTTGGGTCGTACGCCCCCGGACCGGGAGCGTCGGAACCTGTCAAAGACGACCACGTGTCAGCATGGCTAGAAGCTTCGGATCCAGACGGAAAGCATCAAGATGGTAATTTCTGCATGCAAGTGCAAGCGGTTTCTGGCGGGCCCATGACTAGGAGTCGGACCAAGAAAGCTTGACTAGGAGCTCTCATCTTCAGCTTGAGGCTCCAGAGTAATCACGGAATAATGAACGTGCAGCACTCCCTTCTGCAATCTACTAAATCTTCTTTTGTGGTTGCTAACCCGTTCTGACTGCGGTAAAAGGGCCAAGGTCGAAGCAGCAAGGCACAAAGGAGCAATCCTAGTCGCCTGTTTTGAAGGAGTGAAGTCTTACCTGCTTTCAGTCCCCGTTTGGAAGTCCCCAGCACTATCCCTCGACTCGAGCTGGCCCCATTCACATCGTACGCCCCAGGCCCCGGGGTCTTTTCCCGGCCAGTCGTTTCTACCCGGCCACCAAAGGAAAAGGCGGGGGAGCTCAGGCGGAGGGCAGTCACCGAGTAGTCGGCGGGAGAGGGGCCGGAAGAGTCGCCTGTGAGAGATGGCAAAGGCACGTGCGGTTTGTAGAAATTGCAAGTGCTGATGTAAGCAAAGTCACTTTATAATGTAGGCATTCTGGATAGAGCTGACCTGGAGCGCACATTGATCGGACAAAGTTAAGAGTCAGCACAAGATAGTGCTGCACTTCCCAATCGCCATGACCATGTAACGGCATAAGCTATATGTTAGCGGTAATGTTGTGGTTGATATTTTCACTCTGGTGCGCTTGGTAAAAGACAGACCGGATATCCTGTCTCGAAGGAAGGCTCAAGAGCTTCTCGTACTGGTGCTCCTAGTGCTAGGGTGTCTGATAGCTGAGTAAGCCATTGAGACGTGCCGAACATTCACTTCACAAATTTTTTCAAAAGGCTGCGCGCATCTGTCGGGTTTGATGGCGGCCTACCATGCTTCACTTTGCTCTTCCCTGCAAGGGTGAACGCTGGCGTGCTATTCTTGGTGGCCACGTTGTAAGCCCCTGGTCCTGGAACCTCTGAGAAGGCTGCACAGGAGGCAGGGAAAGACCTTGGAATCTAGTCAAGATGGGGTTGCCGCTTGCGCAGGTGGGCAGATTTTACCACGCATCTGCTGTCGCCTCCTGCATGCATCCTTTGCAGATGATGCTTTACCAAGCAATGAATGTCGTTTGGTAAACTTGCCATTGAACCAGGGCTTTTTAACCCAGGAATAGTCAGAACGTTGGTCGTTTGGTAAGGTTGTCGTTGAATCCAGGGCGTTTTGACCCACGTTTAGTCAGAACGACATTTGAACAAAGGTACATTTCAGTTGAGCTGGTAAACTCTGCGGTAATCACCAAGACAGCCGGTTTTGTAGCGGCTCAGCCTATCTTCATCAAGGTCGATTGTGTTACATTAGTGTTAGGTATGGTCCTTAATTCGCTCTTTTACTCCAGCACTCAACTCAAACCAAGGTCAGCCGCTATTGTGTGGCACTGTCAAAGAAAAGAAGTCATTCAAATGAGCCTTGGGTGTCATTTTTGTGAGAGAAGACACTGCTAGTGCTAGTGACGAGAGAGCCTATGGACAGCAACTCGAGCTGAGATGCTGCAAGCACTTAAGTGTGATCAACAAAAGACCCTGGATGCTTTTACCATCAACAAGGACTCTGTCAGCAGATGATGTACAGCATTTAGAGCTTCGCAAAGCTGGTGACCAATTGGTAGGCCAAGGTGCGCTTTCCTTTTTTCTGAAGTCCACGGGTGCTTTCATAGTGCTACAAGCAGGAAGAATACACCTCAAGTGCACCCAGCAGACAACTGAACAGCGGCAAAGATCTCGAAAGCTACCGGTAATGTCAGGTAATTACCTCTTCTTTCCCCGGGCCTGCCTCCAAATGAAAATGCAGGCGCATCCATATCCCTCTTTGGGTCCATTTTTAAGAGCTCCGAAGTACTCTACTCCGGCAATTGAGGCCTGCTGCAGGCTATAGTGTTACATTGCAGATTACCCAACAAGGACACAGCTCAGGCTGCTCCTAAGGGCAGGTAAAAGGGGCATGTATACGAGGCCCCCCTCCCTTGTAGGTGCCTACGTTACCGCGGTAACTCAATTGAGCAGACTAATGCAGCCTAATGATAGTCTTAACATTGGGCCCCAGGGTCTTCCTTGGTCCATATTTTCATCACCATAAATCTCAATAACGAGGTCGTGGTGCAAAGCCTCTGCTCTTCACTGATCATTGCTCAATTTTGGGCCACCCCTTTACTCGTTTACCAGGACCCCCAAGTCCAGCGCCTTTATAAGCAGGTATGACCTCCCTATTTCCGTCTCTGCACCTTCACAGAATGACCCCAGGCTGTCCTACGTCACGACGACTCACTTATTCCAGTAGCAAGTCCGTCTGAACGACTCATCAGCTCAGGACAGAAGTCAAGTTCAATCCTGACAGTGCGGCATATCCTTGGTAGTGCTATTGCTGCTGCTCTGATACCTGGATACCTTGTTGCAGCTTGTCTTACCTATTCTCCCCAGTAGCGACGAGTGACTTGCTTTCACAGCAGTCATGCAGGATTCATTGCGACGGCCCTAGTACGTTACTGTTTGCATTTGAACTTCGAGTCTGGGTTCGAAGAACCTGCCAGCTTTTGAAGTGGTTGAGGCAGGGTTAAGGCCTAAGGTCTGCTTCTAATTTCAAGCTGATTGACAATGAAGTCCGGTTAGGCACGGTAGCCACCACTAGTACTAGGTATAGTCTAGGACTATAGGTCTAGTAGCAGTCACGTCTCAGTATTGTAAATGTGCTGGCTGGGGACACCCGGTTTGATCGCCCTCTTGCTTCGGAAAGTCAAGTCTGCGCGCGCTGAGAATATAGGAACGCAGAAAACCGTAGATACAGCACGTGGAAGGGGTTTGAGATTCATAGGGTTCGACACCTGGATTGTGGTCACGCTACCTCGACTTGGAATTTTGCACAATGCAGGCATGCGTCATGAGCTGTGCGAAGGCTGCATTGCGGCCAAGGCGAAGCCAGCTTGTTGCTGCAACATTTGGTGATTGTCCAGATTAATCACTGCTTGTGGACCCGTCCTACCTAAATGCAGGTCAGCCGACAGATGACGCCTAATGCGGCTGCATTTAAACCTAAACTTTATAAAGAGAGCCTCCCAGTTTGACACCTAGTGTTCGTGGTGCAAGCTTCCATCATGGCGGCAGCCTTGTCACGGCTTCAGCGCGTTAGCTGCTGCACCACTGTCACATGGCAGCCCAGCGCTTCCGCAGCGGGCCGCCCAGGTGCCACCAAAGTGTACCCTGGGACAAAAGTGGTCGCCATTGAAAGGGTTGGCGTCTTTCAGCCTCTCAATGCAGTCTTTCGCCTACCGGTGATCAGCAAGGGGACCTGGCACAACTTTCCGCCAGCTGTGCGGTGCGTCGCACAAGTTGCGGCCCGTGACAAGACTGGGCAGCTCACAGAATGTGCCCCTGAGGAGCAAGGAGCAGTATTCGGCACTAGCCCAGTTGCCAACCTGTTTGGCCCAGCTTTCCTTTCTGGAGGAACTGAGCAAGTTGACAATGCACTGGCCTTGTTACTTGACTCTTATCAAGAGCCCCTCATCGAGGCGCCGCCGGCAGGCGCAACACTGCCTCTCGATGCCACCTGTCACATTCTGACTGGTCCTAGCGAGGTTGTTGAGGATTCGGAACTGCAAGCCCACATTGACGCCCTTTCGGAGGAGCAAGCAATGCTTAGAGAGTCCTTCCAAGCCCCCCACGACGGACCCCTGATCTTGCCAGACTCCCTGGATTGGCGTCTGGCACGCCTTTCGCCAGTCGTCGCAGTTGACGAGCCCCCCCCAGAGACCCCAGTCCAGAAACTCCAAAACATGCTCATGGGCACTGCGAGGCTTCTAGGGGCGCTCGTACTGGCCTCCGCTCTCGCCCTTTGTACCCCCCACCCGGCGCTGGCGGCCCGCAGCATGGGTCGCGCGGGCGGGGGGGGCTTCTCCAGCAGCCGCTCGAGTGCGGGTTCTAGCCGCTCTAGTTCTTCCAGCTCCAGCCGGTCCAGTTCGAGCAGCTCCAGCCGCTCTAGTTCTTCCAGCTCCAGCCGCTCTGGTTCGAGCGGTTCCAGCCGCTCTAGTTCTTTGAGTTCTGGCCGATCTAGTTCTTCCAATTCCGGCCGGTCTGGCTCCTCCAGTTCCGGCGGCTCTAGTTCTTCTTCCCGCCGCTCTAGTTCTTCAAGTGGCGGCAGTTCTGGCTCTGGCTTTCACTGGGGCAGCACTCCTTCGAGCCACTCTTCCAGTCACTCAAGCGACTCACATGGTCACCCTCCCACTCACCCCAACACTGGCGGTCATTCCCTCAGCCACTCTGATAGCCACGCAAAGAGCGGTGTCAAACCCTGGAGCGGAGGGGCAGCTGGGAAGTCCTCTGGGAAACCTCCCGAGCCAAACCCGTCTCCAAGCTCTTCTGAGAAGCGGAGATGGTGAGTGTCTTGCGAATTGGGCATGCATCTCTTGCAAATCCCGCAGTTTAAGCCGCACCAATAGTTCCCCCTGAATATTGATTTGCACTTACATTTGAAGGACTTTCAATAATGTTTCTTCAATCTGGGCGCTAAATCTGAGACACTAAAGCTCCTCCTTCATATATTCGTTCTGGCTGACATATGTAGCGGCAGCCAAAAGAAAATGTTGTGTGAGTGACTGAACGCACGGTATGGGTACAACATTGATTTCCGATCTTCTCGAACCGGAAGACTGGGTATCCGGGGGCACAGAAGAAGACGTAAAAGCAGTCCGAATGATATGATAGGTGTTGTAGTTCCTTCCGTTACTGTTGCTTTCCTTGTAGACTCGTTCAGGCACAAAGACTGCCTTTCAGAGTCCTGAGAGATTTCCGTTGCAACGCAGGTGATTTGACTTAGGTTGCTTGTTTATCTCAACCACGCTTGGAGCAAATTCCCTTCTTATTCACTACAAGACAACCCGTTTCGGTACCCACATTTCAAGTTGTTGAACTGCTCTCCAGGTTTGGTGGCGGCTCCCACGAACCCGAGGAGCCGTACCTCAACTCCCACTCTCATAGCGACACGTTAGCGTCAATCCACCTTCACTTGGGCGGCCCCACCCAGCCCCCCTTCAGCAGCCACCCGGGTGCCTACCACTACTCAGACACGCACGACCGGCTACTGAGGGCTTTTTTCCGCAGTCTGAGCGGCGAAGACCGCAGCAAGGAAACGGGGGGGCAGCAGCAGCCTGGGGCGGAGGTCCCCCGTACTCCGAAAGAGGCGGCTGCGGATGCGGAAGCACAGAAAGCCACCCTTGAGGAAGTGTTGACCATTCTTGGTATTGCGGCGTTTGAAATTCTTGTGGTTACGATTCTTGCTCTGGGGATGCACAGAATATTGATGGTAGTTTTTGAAAGGGAACGCCCAAGCGACGACAACTCGGGAACCGTGAGGGAGAGGGACGGTGACCTGGTTGCTGACGCCAGCAGGGCCGCGGAGAGGACGCGTGATGACGTCAGTGAGAGTCGCGCCCCCGAAGGAACGCGGGTGTACGATTTTGACACGGAAGTGAAAAACCTCCTTACGGTTGTCAAGATTCAGGTGAGCTGACACAGTAAATAAAGACCCGGTTTTAAATACGCTCTTGGGAAGAGAGTAATAAGTATAGCACCAATTTGAAGAAGCAGACACTCCAGTCGATACTGATCTTACAGTCCTTTATTTTCAGAGCGCAAATGGTCTGAAAAAGGGATTATTCATTCGGAAGCATACTTAAATCTGTTTAAAGATCGTCTCTACTCCGGGTCCTCATTTACAGTGCGAAAGGCCCAAGAGGCTTGTGCCTCGTCTTGTGGAACAAGCTTTAAGCACGTTTTATTGATTGAACTACCTAGACGCCATCAGCCTTCTGTAATGAGCTTGATGCGCTCTCAAACGATAGTGTACGTACGAAGTTCGGCGCCAGTGACGTCAGCGACAGAGGGTTCCGGGACACAGCAAACAGCGTATATAACAACTGAAAGAATGTCGGTAGGAAAAAGTGCTATTAATGTTGGATACATGTCAGATTTCGCACTCCATCAATGCCTTCTCTGGAATAGGTACATGAATGCTTTGAGAAAGCTTGACGTCGCTTTGCACACAGGTTGCTCTGCTGGGCCAGGCCAAGTCGGTTCAGGTCCAGATGGATAAGCTATGCGAGGAGGCGGATACGGGCTCCAAGGAGGGACTGCATAATCTCTTGACAGGTCAGCTTGACCTCATTGCTGCGCTTATGAACCGGCTGCCAGCAGATTACTCCACGGAGATTAGATCGTTCGGTTGCTTTACCACTTGATCGACCACCCAAGAGAAGACCGTCATCAAAAGGAACGTTTTCAAGAGCATTTCAAGGTTTTTGAAGCATCAGCGCTGCTCAGATTGCCGTTTGCGATTTTTCCGGCCGCAAGCGCCTCACTCACCGCTTGTTCGACTGGATTCCAAGCCTTAAATGATGAGTCATTGACTCAGAGTCGGGCTCAGATCTGGAAAACCTTTGACGTATCGGTTTTCGTCTTTCTGGTCCTTCCTACGCTTTGGTCGCGGGCTTCTGAAAATGTTCGTTTGTGAGCTCGGCCGCGTGTCATTTGAAGGCTCATGTCAGACGATTTGCCAACCCGACTGAAGGCCAGGGATATTCTCGAAGGAGTTGCTGCGAACCCCAGGATACCGACACGCAGAAATTTTCTTCGCAGAGACCTTGCTGGTGATCCTGCGCCACTCCACGTACTGGGCATATGGAAACGCTCAGGTAAGTGTGCGTCCCAGTCACTTCTCGCCCTTGCGAATAATATAAAGTCTACTGGAAGCGTTTGAAAGGAGCCCGAAGCATCGTTTGGAAGGAAGTAAAATGGGTCTTATATCGGGACCACGGAAGAGATTCGCATGACAACCATTGCTTTATAGTGAATTCTCCTGCGTGTTTTAATTGTCGCTTTGAAGTCCGTTTCGTTGCTGGACAAGCGTCACATCCATTTTACTCGCGCAGATGATCCCCTTGGGATACGACGCGGCTGAGAGACGGTACCAGCAGATTGCACTGGTAAGCTGAATTCTCCTAGAAGTACCGGGGACTGAAATGGACGCGTGGCTTGCGTCAGCTAATCATCTTCTGTTACACGTCTTGCTCCGCGATGCTTTGGTCCTTCTTAAGCTGGCTTCCTGAGACCCACTTTTCCCAAAAGCAAAGGGCACTTTTTCTGGTGACTTCGTGCTTCAAAGGTGCTCATCAACACGATGTAGTTACATGAAAATGACGTGTGCAGGAGGAGAGGTCCAAGGCGGAGCAGGAGACGCTGGTCAACAAGGGAGGCAAGCTGACCAAGATGCCGTCCGTCCGCGATACGGACGAAGAGCCGCCGCCCAACGAGCTAATCGTCGTAAGCGCCCACTCAGAATCCCATCTGGCTTTGGATTTCAGCAAACGTTCAGGGGACTTGCAAAAAAAATGTGACTCTGAGTCTCAAGGAGAAGGACTCTCGGATTACGATCGAAGTTTGACTGCACATTTCTCTAAAAACCTTTCCGCGTTTGCGTCACATATCTTTGATATCGGTAACATGAATGATATTTCGGCCTCGAGAGCTGACCTTGTCGTCTTTTTACGCTAACCGAAGAGTAAATCCGCTCGAAGCAGTCCCTGAGTGGTCTCTCACTCGTTCGTGGGGTGGGCTTAAAGTGAGGTCCTTTTGTGTCTACCTCGTCTCAACCCCCTGATTACGTCAACATTCTCCGCAGGCGTGCTGACCGAGCTTCTTGTTCTCGTAATAGGTGACCGTCTTGGCTGCCGTTAAGGGCCGTTTGGAAGCGCGCGAGGGGGCACAACGCGTCGCCGCGCGTGAGAGCCTCAAAGGGGCACTGCAGGCGCTGAGCCAGGTGCAGGCGAATGACCTCGAGGTGAGCTGCGAGCTCGCGCACTTTCGCATTGATTCAGGTCGGATTCAGTCCCCGCGACCAGGATTTCCTACTTTTTGACGCCATGCAGAGAGCTGTTTAGAGTGCTTCAGCGTTGTCATGAGAGCCTATTTGACTGAACTTACGAGGTTTGGCTACTGAACTCGAATTCGATTCGCTTACCAAGTCCGCGTCTGCTAGCGCTTACGGAGCAGATCGCGTTAGTCTGCAGCGTCCACTGAGTTGTCTGCAGATGACATCTGCTATACAACGTGCTCTTACATATTTTCTCCTGCTTTGGAGAAATGGCCTCTGAAGGTGGACTTATAGTCGACACCGATCAAGATCCGGTGGGTTCCAAAGCAGGACAAGATAAGACTGCCTATCAAAATTTTCTGCGCCGCAAACAGGCACCATTTGAAAACCAAGAGGTGACTCGAGTCCTCGCGCTTAATAACAGCCTAACCGACAAACACTCTGAAAAATCTGTGGCGATATTTGAACGCTGCTTTCCTTTGCGTGGCAGGTGCTCGACATTTTATGGGTGCCCCAGGAAGATGACGACACGCTGACGCACGCCGAGCTCATTGAGAACTTTACAGATCTGTCGCCCATGTGAATCCTGTGGTCGTAATTCTTTCGGGGCTGGGTGGGGGGTGGAATTGAAAAGAAACGAGAACTGTGTTGGAGACGATAGTTGTCTTTTTCTGAAGGCTTCTAGTAGCCTTGGTCTCAACTGGTAATGATAGGACAGCGCAGGGACGGGTATATATGGTTTTTGGACGGATAGGAAGGCTTGTTACATAGCTAGGACAGTCCTTGTTAATCATTTGGTACTCGCAGCAGTGCTTCGCTGAGTACAGCCAAGGGCGCTTACAGGGTCTCTCAAAAGGGGTGGGTGGGTATTCGGTCACGGAACGATTGTTCGATAAAGGACAACTGCTGGAGCTAACATTTGTGACTTTCAAGGAGAAGTTGGCGTAGAGAAGAAGCTGCACGAATCGCATTGGGTTGGAAGATTGCAGGAAGATTGTGGAAGCAAGCACCATCGGTGGTCATCGATATCGCGAGGAAATATATTCCGAACGTTTTGATTCGGTTCGTTTTGGACTCGGGTCGGGCTAGGTCGACAATTACTGTCAGGCTCATTCGCTAGCTCGCACTTCAAAAGTGAAGGATCGCGCCGGCGAGTTAATTCTAATGCCCTGCTGGTTAAGAAAATCTTTCGATCTTCTATCCGTTGTCGATGGCTTGGATAGAATGGAGAACCGATCAAACGTCGCTGCAATCCGAGCACTCATATCCTTAGCTAGGGCGTCGTGATGGACCCGCAGCGCCGGCCGATCATAGCGCAAACTTGCATGAGAGGCTATGGCGCTACTGCGATACCGCAGTTCAACAATCCAGATGAGTCTCCGCACAGCGCCGCACCGTCAGCTGGTCGCGGGCTGGTGCGCCCCATATAGCGCAACTTGAATGTTCTAAGTTCTAGCATCGATCAAGATCAAGATATTTCAGTCACCGTCTAGACCGTGTAGCAAAAAGTAAGCGAGCTTGGTTAAACTTCAGTTTTCACCTTCAGGGTGATCACTGGCGGACTCGGTCTAGTCCAATGATGGTATGGTAAGCTATGGGCCCGCGTCTTGCACATAAACAGCATTGCAGGAGAAATTGCAGGATTCGTCCAAGCTGGCTACTGCAGTAAATCCGCGTACTACCGCCCTCCACCAACATGCGCTACGGGTTGCTTGTGGGCGCTTCTGAGCTAGGAGCAGCTTCCGGGCCTTAGATACTAGACGGCATGTCTCTGAGGTCGTCGGATCATCTCTTCTGATGGCAGCAATCATGAATATCTGCACCGTGATCCCAACTTTCAGTTTGCTGAAACTTCGCTTCTGCGCGAAGCTGAGCGCGCACAGGAACCCCGTCAAGACCGGCGTACTCAGAGCCGTACGATACAAAATTACGTGGACTTCGATAATCGACACCTGGGATGTG